AGCCACCGAAAGTTAGAAGAGTATCAGGAGAGTGATGATATCTGACCTTTCAAGAGCTGGAAGGAGTTTCTCGCAAGAAAATCTAGCTACTAATAAGGGTAGTGGGAAGGACTTAGGGGAGGAGCCATAGGGAACCCAAAAGAGCTCGCCAAAACGTCCGTCGGCGAATAAGGGGGGGGACTGGCTCGAAGAAGGGGCGGTAAGGTTTTTCTGGCCACCAGACCGGGTAACTACCGGGAATGCTAAGGCTTTATGGGAGGATTTTAAGGATTTCTTATGTAAGGTGACGTGAGACTGGGCGGTCTCATGACGTGGGTGGCTAATGAAAACCGAATCTTTAAGCGTATCTTGGAGGGAGGACAAGTCTTTGGAAAGCTGGGCAAACTCTTTTTGAAGTTGTAAAACATCCTTTAATTGCGTAACCCTTTGACTTAAGTCTTCTTTGGTAAGCAAAAGTAAGGGCATTGTAAGGGGAGGCATTAACGAAGGTGCGTAAATCTGGGGCGTGTAAGGAGGCGGCCATTTGGGATCGTGATATTGGGCCGCTTCCTCTCTGAGGGTTGCCTCTTCGGTGGGGTCGAGGGACTCTTGGAGGGGTTGTTTTTTGAATACCGGCTAATTGAATGCATGAGGGGCTGTACCCTCGGGTAAGGGAGAATAGAGGGTCTTGGTGTCTGGCCTACTAATCGGGGGCTCGTCTCTAGATGTCTGGAGCTCAGCTGAGGGGTACTGAGGGGGCATATTAATACAAACTGAGGGGCAAGGGGAAGGACATGTTGGTCTCTTGAAATTATTAGGAGAAGCTGGCCCTTCGGCCGTCTTTAAAGACGTTCTCGAAGCGGACCGTGACACGGGTCGGAGGCAGAATTCTGCTACTGAGAGCAGCTGCTTTTTATTGGGGTCTGAATCTGCCCCTTCAACAATATCTCTGATTAGTCCCCAGTACGAAAAAACAGATACAGGGACGGCATCTGGGCCCTGATTTAGAAGTAAATCGTTTAAATCTCTACATACTTTTTGCCATTTGTGTGGGTGAATCTCAGGACAAGCACGATCAATGAACACAAAAAACTTTACTAAGTCTTTTTTCTTAACTCTAATTCCTCTCTCTCTGAGTGAGGCCTTAAGATCCTTGATAAAAACGGCCTCTTTAGACAATGAATGGCCCATCTCGATGGGGTGACAATGTAAAAATTTACTCAGATGGGGTGACAATGTAAAAATTTACTCACCAGACCGTCGACTCTGTGAGTGGCAGAACGAGGGTCTCTGTAGTGTTTCCTTCGGCCGAAGAGCACTCTGCGGCGTCACCCGACAAAGGTCTGTACCTCGGGCCCCACGTTGGGCGCCACGTGTCCCGGCCCACGGGACCTTCTGTTACTCGAGGGGGGCGAGGGGGACCGTGCCTGAAAGAGATGGGCGAGAGAAAGGAACGAGACCAAGCAAAGGGTTGTCAAGGTCTACTTTACTTGGATTTTTAGTAGGTTTTATATACAGAAACAAGGAAGTAGAAACAAAAAAATAGAGTGGGGGAATGATGAGGCTTTTGTGTGGGCTAATCAGCCCCAATCAGCATCCCAATGGCACCGGAAGCTGTTTGTGATGGATCACTCAACCCCAACCTGGCAGGGGGTTGGGAACAATTGCAGGTAGCATGCCCTGGAGCAAGCACATCAGGGAATGCATTCTTCTTGGAACTATAGCTGGGGGGCTGGGTGCTATTTTCGTCTTAGGCTATTTTCCGGGGCAGTCAGGACAAGTCAGGACAAGTCGTTGGAATGTGGAGGGTCTTAGTCTCCAACACCTAACTTAATTGGGATGGGAGTAGGAGAAGTTTCTTTGAGAAAAATTTTTTTTTAATCTGAGATCTAAAGAATAAGTATGAATCAACTAGGTAAAAGGAAGGGCTGGTGCAGGAGAAAGAACATTTTAGGCAGAAGGAACATCATGTGCAAAGGTCCAGAATCAGGAAGAAGCAAGGTATGAGAAACAAGGCATGAGACTGGGCACAGCCAAGCCCTGAAGAGTCGTAAATCTAATTGGGAGGTACTCAGAGTGTTTAGTAGCTGCTCAAAAGGTCTGCCAAAGTAGCTGAGTGTGTGAGTGGAGGTGTGAGCATTTTTCTGAGGAGAAGGTACATAGTTTTCATCAGGGTCTTATAGCCTTTCCTTCTAAAAATGTGAAGAACCACTGCTGGGGTATGAAAGGCCATTTTTAGACTTTGTCCTAAAAGCAATGGATGCCATTGGAAAATATTAAGCCAAAAAGTAACATGGTCTTATTGTAAAATCCACAGAGCCAGGATTTTTATCTCTTTTGTTCACTGACACATCCCAAGCACCTAGAACAGTTCCTTGCACATAGCTGGACCTCAATAAATGATTGCTTAAAGAATGAATGTCTATTTTGGCATTATATTGTATTACATGATATTATAGTCATCTGCTTAATGCCTCTCCATTGCAAGGCTCAATCATGGAAAACCAGCTATGTCTCATTCATCTTTGTGTTACTAGAGATATGGTATAAGTGCTCAGCACAGTGCCTGGCTTAAAATCAGTTTCAATTATCATTCATTCATTCAGCCAATAATTACAGAGCATCTACCAGGTGCCAAGAACTGAGAATCCAAAGATGATTATAATATCATCACTAATCTCAAGGAGGTTACACTCTGGAAAGGAATACTAATAAGTAGGCCTGATAATGCTATGTAATAAATGCTATAAAAGGAATAAGAACAGAACACAGCCCTAAGGGTGTCAGGGAAGCCTAGCAGGCTGAAAAAATTCCTGGGCTGCCCCTGGGCCATGTGAAGGAAAGAAGAGCAAAGCATGGGAGTGGACATTACAGGCAAAATTCAGATGTGAGCAAACAGAGCCCACTAGGACAACTGCAAGTGATTAAGTAAATATGGGGCAAGATGAAGCTACAGAGATAGGCCCATGCCATAAAGCACCTGGACTTTATCGTAAAGACAATGGAAAGTCATTAATGGATGAAAGACAAAGCAGGAGAATGAAGTGGTCATGTTTGCATATAAGAGTACTTGTGCTCCAGAGTGGAGAATGCATTGGAAAAGTAGTAATAGTGGGGGTGGGGGGGCCAGTGACTGGGAGAGGTGATGTTGGCCTGAGGTAAAGTAGAGGTAATGGGAATAGAGAAAAGTGGATGGATTTGAGAGATATTAAGGACGTAAGATCAACAGGAATTAGTGATTAATTAGATGTTAGGGAGAGAATGATGGTGTATTGATGGATAGTTTTTAACTTGGACACCTTGGATGAGTGAGCACAAAGCTGGGGAGCAGGCTTAGAGAGGCAGATGATGAATTCCAATTTGGACAGACTGCATTTGAGTTGTCTTTGGAACATCCATGTGGAGACTTTTAGTTGGCAGTTGAATACACAAATGGATCTGGAGCTCAGAAGGAAGATCTAGGCTGAACACATAAATGTGGGGGTCTTTGCTTATGAATGGTAATTGATTCCTGGGAGTGGTTGAGATCACTCAGAGAGAGTGTGGAGAATAAGGACAAAAGACAGAGACAGAACTCTGGGAGAACATTCAAATAACAAGCATTGTTTTTAGGGGATGAATAAAGAAATAAATGTTGGGCATTTAGAAGAAGGGATCCCTTTCGGTGCTGTCTAGATACTGCTGCCAAATCAGCTGCTATCTTATCTGTGCTTCAGGCAAAGCCTGCTCTTTGGCTTCTCAAATGGAGAATATGTTACCACACCAAAACTGGAAAGTGGGGAAATAGTCTGGACATGTCATACAGCATAATGTGTATCTTCAGGGCTTCTTTTGAGACACATATGTGGATATTCTACTCCGGAGGCTCTATTGATAAACAGATGATAGGTAGCCTCTTGTTTGTCTCCATCAAGAAACACTTTAAAGCTATATGCTTAAAATATAATATGAAATACATTAGAAGTCATTTGATTATGATCTGATGTTGCTCAAATCATCCAGATAATCTCTCTAGTCTGCCTGATTGGTAGTCCTTTGCTTGGCTGGTTGGCTTTGGCATCAAATCTGCAAACTACCCAGTTGGAATATACCTGAAAAATGTTTCTCAAATGCTCCTTTGGGTGGATAAACTTATTGGTTCATATAATTCATATAGATTATTTGTCTATGTTAGGAAGTGTTCCTTGACTGATAAATACTTGCTTTTGAACCCACTAGTTTTCTATAAACCACTGAAAGTTCCCAGGCCTCCCTAGTTGCCTTTAGATTGTATACATTAATGAAGATGTTTCGACAAACTTACTGCAATAAAATTGAAATTAGGCAACTTCCAATAAAACTCTGGTTTACTTGAACAATAGAAGTAAAAGAGAACAAAACTATTAAATCCATCAGGTCAACTGGTCATTTGAGAATTTGTACCAGATTTGACAGAGTGAGGATGGTTTGGTTTTAATGGAAAGCATGCCCAAGCAACATTTCTAGACAAGCTGACTTTTACCAAGTATAATACTTTTTCTTACAACCAAAAGATAACAAATTCACCTCCTACATAAAGAAGTTGGCTTTTGTGCTTTGAGTTTTTATGTTGCTATTTCCTTTACTTTAGAGCAGGCCATTTCAAACTTTTACATGTATAAGCAAACCAATTATTTGATGAACTGCTTTATTTATTTTTTCAGAGTTTTACTGTTTTATATAGTTAATGTTTTAGTTTAAGCCAAAGTGAATTTGTGGTTTCTGAGATCAGGAATTCAAGTGCTTTCTAAAACTAAAGAATAAGTTATTGCTTAAATTAGCCATTTTAGACCCAATCTTTGTTTCTAAATGGTAGTTAAATGTTTATTGACATTCCCACTATTTTGTAATGATAACATATCAATAATAATAAAAGCATGCATTTACTACAAAAGAAAGAAAGGATAATATTGGAACTTCTGTATAGTCTGACAAGTCTTGCTTTTGAAATATATATCTTACTCCATTTTTCTTCCAAAGAAAGAACAGAAGACAGGGAAAAACCTTTCCTCCCATCTAGTGGCTATAAAATATATAAATGTGTTCCTTGGAATTCTAGGCATTAGGAATTGTCTGACAGATTATAATATATCCAACTGTTCACTCAGTTAAGCAAAAGTGAGTTCTAAAACATTTACCAAAGCTAAGCCCAGTGGAGAAATACAAATCTAGGATGATTCACTAATCAACTATCCTTTAATCAATAACATATACTTCTCTTCAGTAGAAGGGTCATGGTACTTCTTAATTCGTTAATCTGAACATAGTGATAGCAAAGACAAGGCTGTATGTCTTTGCTAACAGAGATTGGGACTTATATTTGCCTTTAAAGCAATCAGTGCCCTAGATCTCTCCTGACCCTTAATTGCTCCTTGTTGGCCCCACACCTTGACAACTCTTCCCTCAAGATTTGTATGTGCTGAATTCGCTAGAGAAAGCCAGAAACTGGCTGCCTCTAGGGGACCTCGGCTCCTGAAACTTGGAATAGCAGACTCTGATACTGGCAGCAGGGCCTCTGTGCAGGGCCAAACCAGCCCACAGGAAAGCAGGTTTGGATCCGTTACGCAGCTAGAGGGATTAATGCTTGGTCTACCTGTTTTATATATGTCTTGTGCAGATGTCAAAATCTCTGCTGAATTGTGCCTCTCTCTGGTGATTCTCACAGATTCAAAGAATGAATTTTCTGTGCAATCAGCAAAATCCTGAGAGCTCCAGGAAGAAGAGGAAGGTCAGCGAACCAGTGAAAATCTTCATCCCTTACAGAAAATGAAAGTTCAATGCTTTTGCTACATTTATTATAAAAAAATTTTATGTTGCAAAAACATGCATGAAATGTCTTAATAGGAAAGTAAGTCCCTATTACCAAAACCGTTTTCTAAATTTGTTGCTCAACTTTTTTAGTCAATTAACTAAGTGCTAAATTACTGAGTAGGACATAGACTTACTTTGCCACAAGAAAACAAGGTCACCAGGGCTGCCTTGGGATAGCATTACTTCAAAGTTGACTTAGAGATGAGACACCTTTTATGTTAATATTTGTAAAAGAACCATGGCAGCTATTTTGAAAAGAAATAAGCTGTTGTTCTCAAAGGAAAGGAGGATTTTTTTTTTTTGTATAATTAAACTCTTCAGGTATTTAGACTACTGTGAAATGTTTTAACTTGTTGTAACCTGTCTACTGGAATCCCTCTATAGCTTTATTAAAATTCCCACAGAGTTGCATAGGATGTGTGTGACGATGCTTATCCAGGTGTGATTTATGTGTTAATTTCAATCACAAGGTTGATCAGCTAATTGTGGGACCAAAATGTGCTCTCCCTGTAAAGTTCCTCAATTCTGGCCCCAGGCCCTATTCCGTTAGCCAATCTAAAACAGGGAACATGCTGCAATTTAGAAGCCTGGCTCCCTTTTAAGGCCTATGTTTATTTCTCAGCAAGCACCTTAGTTTATTAGTCTGTAACCTGCAGATGATGCTATTAGTTCTTCCTTATTCTGGAAGAATTTTGATAGGCTTAGTGATTAGTATGAGATGAATAATAAATGACTTAAAGTGTTATTTTTATTATTTATGTAACATGGGATTTAATTTAATTTAATTTAATTTAAATGGGTAAAACCAATAGTTAAGCGTGTGTGCTTTATGGTTAAATAAAACCAAAAATGCAAGGTATTTTTTTGCTCATCTTTTTTCACACCAGGAAAAGTTTCTTCACTTACATCAGTGTTTCACCAGAGGTAAAGTTTAGTCAGGACATCAGCATCTGGAGTGCTTGTCAAGGTATGGATTCCCCGGCCTGCCTTCTCCTATGGAGTCAAACTCTCAGGGTGTGGGCATGTGGAAAACTCTCCAGATTCTAACACACACACACAAATAGAGAACCTATGACACTCTGACGCATACTAAGGGAGAGTCTCTGGGCCAGATGTACATGTGAGCCAGCAGAAAGCTGTGTGTCTCAGTAACAAAGAGGAAAATCCAAGGGAGCCTGCCTGTCCAGCACTCTTGGACCCTTGCCAGACTCTCATCCATTTCTGACCATCCAGGGCAGCCTACCAAATGGGTAGGCTTGAGTTGGGCTGTAACACCAGGGCCTGCCAGTGAGGAGCATTTTCCCTTCTAGCATATTAACTGGACTCATGTAAATCTGCTCTGCCACTGAAAGGAGAAGGGGAAGGGTATTGGGTTTATTATATCCTTGATAGAATTGTGGCCTGAGTCACCATAATTTCTTTTAAGAGAATCACCTAAAGAGATTAGCTGGCTAGTAGAGGGATTAGGTTTGTTTTGTGTCTCTCTAGAGAGCAGAGCTAAGACCAAATTGGTGAAAGCTACAGTAATTTGGCTCAGTATAAGGAAGAGATTTTTACCTCCATAGGTTGTCAAAATTTTGAAATGGGCTATCTTGTGAGTTAGGAGCTTCCCTTCACAGCAAGTGTCTGAACACAAAGGAGCTTCACAAAGACTCTTTACTCTTAAAGCAAATTAGTTTTACTGAATAATTAGTCAATCTGGATTTCAGAAGAAACCATTTTGTTTAAAAGGGGAATTTAGCCCTCAATCTATACTTATGATTTTCGTAAACTTAGCCCAAAGTTGATAGATCCTTTTAGTCAAAGTCTAGAATCTAAATCTGTCTAGAAAATTTCTATGGTGATTTTGTCTCTATTAACACCTTCTTCCCCACCAGAACAGTCTGTCACTGCCAATAGGTGAAATGTATATTTCTTTTTATTTATTTATTTAAGAGGCAGTGGCATGATCATAGCTCAAGTGAGCAACTCCTAGGCTCAAGTGATCCTTCTGTCTCAGTCTCCTGAGTAGTTGGGACTATAGGCCCAGCCACCATGCTCAGCTAATACTTTAATTTTTGTAGAGACAGGGTCTCACTATGTTGCCCAAGCTAGTTTCAAACTCCTGACTTCACACAATCTTCCTGCCTCAGCCTCCCAAAGTGCTGGGATTACAGGCTGGAATGTGTATTTCTGATGTAGTGTGTGTGTGAGAGGCAGCAGAAAGAAGTTACTGGGCTTGTGCCCTTGGCTGAGGACACAGGGAAGGAGATCTGTTATCAGGAAGATCTGAGAACCATGAAAATGTGAACTAGCTGATTTTACACAGCAGAGCTTATATGTGCAACCAGATGTCAAGATCACAGGGTATTCAATTCTGTTTACTGAATGATTTATTAGAAGAAAAGAAATCCTTTTAGTCCATTCAGTTCTGTCCTTAATTATCATGGAATGAATAAACACAAATGCATCAAGAAGCTGGCACTTTGGTGAAAAGAATGAAAACCTAGACCCCAAGCTGGGAAGCCTGAGCTGTACCAGACTAGTCTTTCCCTCACCCTGACTGTGCTTGGGTCATCAGTGTGATTACAAAGATTAGATGATGATAGCTTGGAAACTGGGACATTGTTAAATTAAAAATTATGCAGAGGAAATGTGAATTCATCTGCTTGGGGTTTTTCTGTCTTTACAGAAAGTTGGTCTAGCTGGAAAGGGTTAGGCTTGTGATTGCCGCCAGCCTTTGAAGGCAGACACCAAAACCGCACCTTCATTTCCCCTCTTGCGGGTCCTTCTGGTGTCTGGGTTCTTTCGTTCTCCAGCTCATCTCTGCCAGGAAGAGGCTGGAAATATTCATCAGTGTTAAAGTTGCATTCACAGAAGTTCAGAGTTGTGTATGTGTTTCTAAAATTCCACTAACCATTAGAACCAATTTTCAATGTATCTTAAAATTGTCAATTTATGGTTTCAAATCCAATGTATTGAGTTGTTAGGGACTTCCACAGATTCTTATAGTAAAAATAATTCTCGGTTATAACCATTATCATTTAGAAGAAGGTCGCAAATAATAAAATGAAACTTAACACACTGTGCTTGGAAGAGTTAAGGTAAGGTCCTCCACAGTGTATCATTCTAGATTCTATTAATATACAAGTGAGAAAATGTCTAAATGTATCCTTTTTTAGAAATTATTAGTTTGTTTTTTTTAAAAGGTAATATTTTCAGTGTGACTGATTTCTGTACTGAGGTTCTGGCTGACACCTGATGTGCAATTTTTTTTTTTTGGTTTCTGTAGAGGACGAGGGCACCATTGTGTTGGTTAAATGGAAAAAAGCTTTTATTAATGGGCCTTTTGGTTATGCAATGGTAAAGTCAAGCTGCTATTCAGAAATGGTGAGGCTTGAGGTCCTAAGGAGCTAATTTGCTCATACGACATCCCTTTGGGTGCGCTACACCTCTGCAAATAGGGTTTCATCCTCTGGTGCGGGGTGGGGGTCAAACTCAGTCATGTAGCAGGTGATGGCTCACAAGTACTACTGGCTGTCTGCGGGCCTGGGGTAAACTGGTCCCTGCAACCTGGCTGGAAGTTGCACGTGAGATTTGCTCAGTAGAGAACCCTGGGAAGGGCTTGGCCAACAGTTCTAGGAATAGGCTGATTTACTTAGTTTCAGAGTTTTTTTCTATGTTATAATTCCATTATGTTATCTGTTAGCCTTCAGTAAAGTCTCATTAAACATTTTAGTTTGGTCTTATCTGTGCCACGAGGTTCATCAGTACAGGAGTCTCCCCATGGCAAGAGGGCAGAGACAGGCCAGTTGAGACAGCCAGAAACATCTAGGGGGCACTAGTGGAGCATTCTTTGGGGTCTCAAATACTTATGGGCAGAAACCTGGTCTAAGAGTGGATTTTAGAAGGTTGTTACTTGGGTATTTCAGGACTCCTGAAGCCTAGAGAAGTCTGGGGCATCTAGATACCATTTGGATAATGACTAGTTGACTCAAGGGTAAGCAGGCAAAGTTTTCCATCTTCATTTTACCAAGATGGTTAATAGAAAGCCTAGGCTGCTGGATTCAAAACCTGTCATTTTCTAGATAAGTTATTTCATCTCTCTGGCCCTCAGTTTACTCAAACATGGATAATATGGTACCTACCTCATAACATTGTTATGAGTATTAAGTGAGGGGATTCAAACAAACTGCCCGGCACGTATATAGTCAGTGCTCAACAGATGTTCAGTATTACTGCTACTTTTTAACTCTTAGCATGTCCACTCCCTTAGTCTCCAGGAGCTTAGGATCCCTGTGCTGCTTTCTGCCTACCCAGAGCTTCTACATTAACACCTTCTTCAAACCTGGGGCCAGCACTTGAACCATGCTCCCCTTGCCTCTGTTCTCAGCCCTCTCCCCACTCCTTTCCCCAAATCTAAACTCCCTTTCCCTCAGAACAGTTTGATGGAAGGGAAGCAGCAGATTACCTTTAATGTGCTACTCTCCCACCTTTACATTTTAAAACAGAAGCTTGTTAATAAGAAAACTGAATCTCACCTAGGGACTTTGGTAGAGAACAGATTGAGTAAATAGAGAAGAAGAAAGTTTAACCACTTCGGGACCAGCATCGACTATAGTTGATAGCCACAGATGAACAGGCACAGTGCCTTTAGCCGACAGCCGTGATATAACTTTTCTAATTTTTCATTTATCAAAATAAAATTGTGAACATTTAAAAATAATGTAATGAAAAAATATATGTATATGTTACCTATTCTGATTTACACTACTAGTAAAGCTGCCTGTAAAGTAAAACAAACTTTCAGTGCTTTACAGCATTCCTCATCACACAAGAGCAAAACTGGATTCATTGTCGATGCACAGCACAAACTATCATGCGGACTATGAGTGCCGGCTGTGGGCAAGGTTTTGCGGCCGGTGAGCGTACTGAAGTGGTTAAGGAGAACTTTGTAGCTGTCTTCAAATATATGAAGGGCTGTCATGAATGCAGGGAACTATAGACACATTCCTTGTTCCAAAGAACAGAACATGGACCAGTGGCAGGAAGTTTCAGGGAGGCAGATTTGGCCTCAACATATCAAAGTATTTTTGCTCCATGCTCTAGCAAAGTGCCTGGCAAGACCAAGACAATCAACATTTGACTGATTTTACTAGCAATTAGGTCTGTCAGATGGTGACCACTTCTGGCTGTCATAAATTCGTTATCAGCAGAGGTGTTCAAGCCTGTCGTCCAGGATGTTGTTGATTTGAATAAGAATTGAACTGACCGAATACTAAAGTCTCTTCCAGATACAAGATTCTGTGACTTTTTATTAATAGTAGAATTTAAACAGAGATATTTTGGAGCAAAGGAACATTTTTTAATCCTTTTTCCGAAAGGCAGTAAAGTGGTTAAAACTAGGGGGTTTTGGAGTTAGACACAATCTGGATTCAAACTCTGGTCATCCTACTCACCAGCTGTATGGCTCTGGGCAAATTATTTGCTCTCTCTGACATCAGTTTCCCTGTCTGTAAAGTGGGGGCAATAATAGTGTCTTCCTCACAGGGTTGCTGTGAGAGCTAAATGAGTTAGTACAGGAAAGGCACTTAGAAGAATGCCTGGCACATAGAAAGTTAATGTTCCATAAGCATTAGTTATGCCACTGCTACAACTTTTTATGTCTTTTCAGTATGTGGAGGAGGGAGGTCCTTGAAGCATAATTGACCTTGACCTTGTTTTATCCTAAATCAGATGCCAGCCATGGCCACTGTGATTAACCAGTGATCTTTCTATCTCCTATAAGCAAGCTTTAAAGCTAAACAAGCACACAGGGCCTGTGACGTGCACTTTATGAATCCCCACCAATGAAACACAAATGTGGTGTGGACACCCTAACCCTGCTATGTGCCCGGCAAGAGGTAGATAGATACCCAGTAAATATTTGCTGGATGAATAGATGAACTTGGCAGGGATCTTATTATTTCCTACATTTTATTTATTTAT